CTCTCTCTCTCTCTCTCTCTCTCTCTCTCTCTCTCTCTCTCTCTCTCTCTCTCTCTCTCTCTCTCTCTCTCTCTCTCTCTCTCTCTCTCTCTCTCTCTCTCTCTCTCTCTCTCTCTCTCTCTCTCTCTCTCTCCTCTCTAATACAAGAGCAACATCGGGTCCCTGATTCGGGACCGTTCGCAAGAAGAGGATCGTTACTTGCATTTTCTACGGACGAACCGTGCCTTCCTTCGCCTACGGCTACGCCCATTGGTCGAAAAGAAAAGTTTCTCGAACGGTGGAGAAGGAAAGAGAGAGAGAGAGAGAGAGAAATCGTGGGCAGGTAGAAGCCTGTCACGCGGACTTTATCCCCTAAGCTCGATACAATCGAGAGAAGAACTAGTATTCCGTCTGTAATTACTTTTGTAACTTTAATGCCGCTCCACCGCCTGCTTATCTTTCGCTACGTTCCCGCGCTATGGATCCGTTCCTCGATCGATTTACATCCGCCCGCTCTTTTGTTTCGCGTTCGAGTTTTCAGGGCCGAATGATCTTTCTTCTTTAAAACTGACGATCGACGTGAGATATTCTTCCCTCGGATTTTTTAGGTTTATGGGTTTTTTCTTTTCTTTCCCCCTCCCTTCTCCCTCCCCCCCCCCTTTCGACGTTGTGATATATCGCTCTCGATTTTTCAGGTTAGGTTGTGAGGCGTATAAAATGGCGGATTTTTAAACATGGAAGATGGAAGAGAAGTTGAAGAGTAAAAGTTGAAGATACGATATGTATATTTATTTATTTATAGGGAAAAAGAACGTAGAATCTAATTTTTTTCTTTTTTTTTTTTTTTTTTTTTTTTTTAGTAAATCGATCTGATGCAACCAACAAGTACAATTATTTGAGATATATGTTAAATTTAAAATTTGTTTTCACTTGTTATTTTATAAGATACGAGATATAAATATGAATGTATAATATATAATAATATACGTGTGGGTAACTTTAAGCAAATGATTATTCAATATTTGAGAATTGTTCACGCTTCACAGTGAATGGATTAAGTAATATTTATTGCGCGACGAAATAATGCTTGGATCAACCGCGTTAGAATTTCATTATTAGAAATTCTTCCATTTCATTTGCAATAAACGAGAATAATCTATCGGCGGAGTCTCTGCCTCGAAAGTCCATATATTAGTTCTAAGTGTTAAGTCCACCTATTTGTGTCAAAATATATTCAAAGTGTGGAGTATAAAGTATATATTCTAAACGAGTTGAAAAGGTTGAATACATATACCGTATGCACTGTTTGAATAATATTATTTAAAATTATCTTGAACGAAAGTGCTTGAAAGAGCATTTGAAGAGGATCGACGCGTTAGACTAAAAGCGAAGTCATCGAAAGAAGTCATTTAAGTGTTGGATGATATCTGCATACGTAAACATAAATGTGTGCCATACTTATTTACAGTTAAGATATATTCTAATGGGCGTATAATGATTACAACAGTAACGAATTTGTTCAGAACTTCAAATTTAAGAAGCAAGTAAATTTTTTTCCCCGTATCAAACAACCTTTTACAAATTCTTTTCATAATTTCCCATTACACAAATCTCTCCCGTCTTTTCCCTGAACAGATGGTATCGAGAAGCAAACCTCTTTTAAACCTCTTTGCAAAATCTTTTCAAGACGCCATTACCCAATATCATAAAGAATATTATTATATGCATCGTTCTATTTCCAATTGCTCGATTTCCAATCGGTGTCATTAAATATTTATAAAAGAATAAAATTAACGGATTAACACATTTCTTGGGGAACACAAAATAATTCTCCAACCGAGTATTACAAATTATTTTCTCGAATTTTCAGAAGAAAAGGAAGAAAGGAAAATACACGTATAATAAACAAATATACAAAAACGCGCCAAATAAAAAACGACTTTTTAAATTTGGCTCGTTGAACCCAGGAAAACCGAAGCAACGAGCGGAAAGAAAAAGAAAAAAGCACGAAAGGGAAAAAAGAGAGGTCGGCCGTTTCCTTACGGCCGGTAGCCGCCGTATTTTTCGTGTCGGCCTCTTTCCCTTCCCTGCCACTTTATACACCACTCGCGCGTTCGTCGAAAACATAATTGCGCGTGCAGTGGGTGCTCGTGAGCGAAGTACGCCGAAACGCCACTCGTTGTACCCTTCACGCGCACGAAAAGTTACACGCGTGTAATGCAGCTGTAATACACGAAGAGGAGGAGGACAGAGAGAGGGAGGGAGAGAGAGAGGGAGGGGGGAGAGGTCACGTCGCGAATGCTCGAGTACGTTGTACGCGCTTATACGCGCCTCGTGTTCACGCTGCGATCGGGGATTAGGAATTATGCGGCGTGTTGCAGTGGTGTTGTTGGTGTCTCCGCGAGTGCATACGTTTTGTGGCCACGCGATCGAAGGAAAATTTTCGATGAACCAAGGCGACGCTTTTTTCTTTTCTTTTTTTTTTTTTTTACGTAAAGTTGGGCGGATTGGTTGTGGAGAATCATTACGATCATCGTGATTGATGGTGGATGGTTATTACGCGAAGATGACGAGACTGCGAGCAAATTGCGTATATTTTGAAATATTTTGAAATATGGAAAAAGAAAAAAAAAAGAGGGAGAGAAGTTGTATAGAAATGTTTCGTATTTTATTGCGGTTTTGTTGTTGCATCGGTTGTTATTGTTATTATATTTGGTAATATTAGGTACGTTTAAACGTAAATATTTGAAATATGATTTAAAAAAAAAAAAAAAAAAAAGGACGAAATTATGGATAGAGATACGCCTGTATTTCACTGCGAAATTCGTTGTATCGAAAAATAGGCTGTATTATTATTAATGCGAATCGTTTGTGATATGTGAAAAAAAATCGAGTTTTATAATTTTTTTTAATTTCGAAAGTATATATAAAATATATCGCGCGGATAAAAAATAAAGTAAAATAATCATTTTATAAGTAACGTGACGCAAATGATTGTAAAAAAAATGTTTATCTTATTTTTACGTTATTTGTACGATATATGAATTACAAATAACGATAATGAATATGATTTAATACGTAATAACATGTTGCATATATCGATATAAAAAAAAGGAGAGAGAGAGAGAGAGAGAGAGAGAGAGAGAGAGAGAAGAATGTAGT